ATGTTTTAAAAACACGTTGAGTTTTCACAATTGACTTCTTCTGTTGAATGTAAATTTTAACTATTTCAGAGCACTCGCGGGGCGTGTATTGGTTCATGGTAAAAATCTGCTTGGACTGACGCTTCAAACGCGGTATGTCATTAAGCGATGTGACATCTCTGTCAAAAGTTATGGCGTTGCCAGATGGGTCCGTCGAATATGGGTAACCCTGTATTAATGCCACCCAAGAATGGTTACAAGACAAGGTCCCTCGCTTCATTTCCAGCGCACAATGGCCACCAAAATCTCCGGATACCAATCCGTTGCACTATTGTGTATGTGGAGTATTTTGGAAATCAATGGTGGCACTAAAAAATATCAAAGTGTCGGTCACCTCAAACAAACGCTTCCCCGGGAATGGGCCAAAATACCGCAGAGCAAAAGTAAAAATTATGGCGTTTGACTTTGTTGCTGTATTTTTTTATCTTTACACTACAGGATGAATTCAGTCGTAATTGCCAAAATTCAGTTCATTTGGGCTAACATGAGCTATATCCAAGTCTGAACCGATCTCAATAAAATTTGACAGGGGTATTTTCTAGCAGTATCTAATGTCCGATACCAAATATCATTCTTCTGGATTCACATGTAAGGCACTTAAAACCCCAAATCGGATGAAACATATATATGGGAGCTATAGCTATATCTGAACCGATTTTCCAAATTTGAATTACTTGCTTTTAGACTGTAATGTACCAAAATATAGGTCATTTGAACTTATATTGGATATGGGAGGTATATACAAGATTGAAGATATATGGGAGGTATATACAAAAAATACAAACAAAACAAAAAATTAGATCAATGTACTTTCACCGCAAATCAGTTGAATATCTTCACCATCTTAAAATTTTAAGACCTTCTCATGTGCGTGAAAATAAATTTAAATTTAAATTCTACTACTTTGATTTTTCGCTTACCAACACTGGTTTTCTCTCAGAGATAAATTTAAATTTAACTACATTTTCGTGAGAGTAAATTTAAATTTAACTCAAAAGTGCTTGTTGTGAAAGAAAATAAAAGTTAAAATTATGAAAATAATATAACAATAAAATGTTATATGAATTGTATTAAAAATTAATAATTATAAGAACTTTGGCCAGAACAAGAAAAGTGGCCAGACTTATATTTCCTATGGTCACTGTAGGATAAATGGGTTTGGACCCACTGTGGGAAAATGGTTAGGGATGCACCTTTATGGGGTTCATTTTCGGAAAGAGCATCGAAAATGCTCATAGATCACTTATTCTCATAATCCAAACCCATCTGGAATTCCCACTGTGGCCAGACTTATATTTCATATGGTCACTGTAGGAGAAATTGGTTTGGACCCACTGTGGAAAAATGGTTAGGGATGCGCCTTTATGGTGTCCATTTTCGGAAAGAGCATCGAAAATGCTCCTAGACCAACGATTCTCATAATCCAAACCCATCTGGAATTCCCACAGTGGCCAGATTTATATTTCATATGGTCACTGTAGGAGAAATGGGTTTGGACCCACTGTGGGAAAATGGTTAGGGATGCGCCTTTATGCTGTCCATTTTCGGAAAGAGCATCGAAAATGCTCCTAGACCAATGATTCTCATAATCCAAACCCATCTGGAATTCCCACAGTGGCCAGATTTATATTTCATATGGTCACTGTAGGAGAAATGGGTTTCGACCCACTGTGGGAAAATGGTTAGGGATGCGCCTTTATGGTGTCCATTTTCGGAAAGAGCATCGAAAATGCTCCTAGACCAATGATTCTCATAATCCAAACCCATCTGGAATTCCCACAGTGGCCAGATTTATATTTCATATGGTCACTGTAGGAGAAATGGGTTTGGACCCACTGTGGGAAAATGGTTAGGGATGCGCCTTTATGGTGTCCATTTTCGGAAAGAGCATCGAAAATGCTCCTAGACCAATGATTCTCATAATCCAAACCCATCTGGAATTCCCACAGTGGCCAGATTTATATTTCATATGGTCACTGTAGGAGAAATGGGTTTGGACCCACTGTGGGAAAATGGTTAGGGATGCGTCTTTATGGTGTCCATTTTCGGAAAGAGCATCGAAAATTCTCCTAGACCAATGATTCTCATAATCCAAACCCATCTGGAATTCCCACAGTGGCCAGATTTATATTTCATATGGTCACTGAAGGAGAAATGGGTTTGGACCCACTGTGGGAAAATGGTTAGGGATGCGCCTTTATGGTGTCCATTTTCGGAAAGAGCATCGAAAATGCTCCTAGACCAATGATTCTCATAATCCAAACCCATCTGGAATTCCCACAGTGGCCAGATTTATATTTCATATGGTCACTGTAGGAGAAATGGGTTTGGACCCACTGTGGGAAAATGGTTAGGGATGCGCCTTTATGGTGTCCATTTTCGGAAAGAGCATCGAAAATGCTCCTAGACCAATGATTCTCATAATCCAAACCCATCTGGAATTCCCACAGTGGCCAGATTTATATTTCATATGGTCACTGTAGGAGAAATGGGTTTGGACCCACTGTGGGAAAATGGTTAGGGATGCGCCTTTATGGTGTCCATTTTCGGAAAGAGCATCGAAAATGCTCATAGATCACTTATTCTCATAATCCAAACCCATCTGGAATTCCCACTGTGGCCAGACTTATATTTCATATGGTCACTGTAGGAGAAATTGGTTTGGACCCACTGTGGAAAAATGGTTAGGGATGCGCCTTTATGGTGTCCATTTTCGGAAAGAGCATCGAAAATGCTCCTAGACCAATGATTCTCATAATCCAAACCCATCTGGAATTCCCACAGTGGCCAGACTTATATTTCATATGGTCACTGTAGGAGAAATGTGTTTGGACCCACTGTGGGAAAATGGTAAGGGATGCGCCTTTATGGTGTCCATTTTCGGAAAGAGCATCGAAAATGCTCCTAGACCACTTATTCTCATAATCCAAACCCATCTGGAATTCCCACAGTGGCCAGATTTATATTTCATATGGTCACTGTAGGAGAAATGGGTTTGGACCCACTGTGGGAAAATGGTTAGGGATGCGCCTTTATGGTGTCCATTTTCGGAAAGAGCATCGAAAATGCTCATAGATCACTTATTCTCATAATCCAAACCCATCTGGAATTCCCACTGTGGCCAGACTTATATTTCATATGGTCACTGTAGGAGAAATTGGTTTGGACCCACTGTGGAAAAATGGTTAGGGATGCGCCTTTATGGTGTCCATTTTCGGAAAGAGCATCGAAAATGCTCCTAGACCAATGATTCTCATAATCCAAACCCATCTGGAATTCCCACAGTGGCCAGATTTATATTTCATATGGTCACTGTAGGAGAAATGGGTTTGGACCCACTGTGGGAAAATGGTTAGGGATGCACCTTTCTGGTGTCCATTTTCGGAAAGAGCATCGAAAATGCTGCTAGACCACTTAATCTCATAATCCAAACCCATCTGGAATTCCCACAGTGGCCAGATTTATATATCATATGGTCACTGTAGGAGAAATGGGTTTGGACCCACTGTGGGAAAATGGTTAGGGATGCGCCTTTATGGTGTCCATTTTCGGAAAGAGCATCGAAAATGCTCCTAGACCAATGATTCTCATAATCCAAACCCATCTAGAACTCCCACAGTGGCCAGATTTATATTTCATATGGTCACTTTAGGAGAAATGGGTTTGGACCCACTGTGGGAAAATGGTTAGGGATGCGCCTTTATGGTGTCCATTTTCGGAAAGAGCATCGAAAATGCTCCTAGACCAATGATTCTCATAATCCAAACCCATCTGGAATTCCCACAGTGGCCAGATTTATATTTCATATGGTCACTGTAGGAGAAATGGGTTTGGACCCACTGTGGGAAAATGGTTAGGGATGCACCTTTCTGGTGTCCATTTTCGGAAAGAGCATCGAAAATGCTGCTAGACCACTTAATCTCATAATCCAAACCCATCTGGAATTCCCACAGTGGCCAGATTTATATATCATATGGTCACTGTAGGAGAAATGGGTTTGGACCCACTGTGGGAAAATGGTTAGGGATGCGCCTTTATGGTGTTCATTTTCGGAAAGAGCATCGAAAATGCTCCTAGACCAATGATTCTCATAATCCAAACCCATCTGGAATTCCCACAGTGGCCAGATTTATATTTCATATGGTCACTGTAGGAGAAATGGGTTTGGACCCACTGTGGGAAAATGGTTAGGGATGCACCCTTATGGTGCCCATTTTCGGAAAGAGCATCGAAAATGCTCTTGACCACTTATTTTGAAAAACCAATCCTAAAAACCCCCATCCGACAATCTCACAGACGGTCGACTTAATTTTAATTTGATCACCATTTTATTGTTCTTATATTTTTAAGTCAGTTGCAATTTTTTTAATTGAAGTTCAACAAAAAATCTGCAATAGAATAATACGAAGGTATTATGTAATGGTTAAGCTATTTCTGCTACATTTTCATAATTAGCAGCTTTACCTAAAATTCTACTTGGTGTACACAACATCCCTAATATGGTAAAATTTGTTGTCGTCTGTAATATCCTAATTATCCAGGTACATCTAAAATATAAAAACGTTGTAAAAAAATTCAGAATGTTTAAATTTACAATAATAAACCACTTTACAAACATTTATTTGTTTATTTATTGTATTATTCATTTACATTTTCAACACACATAAAAGAAAATTGTAAATTGTCAATGTTGAAATACTTTTGCTTTAAAAAATACATATGTTTAAATTGCGCGGTGAATAACGTAATTTTTAAGATAAAAATTTTGATTATCATATGTAGTGTACATTCATTATTTTCAAATAAAAAATAATTTTTTTTGCAACAATAAATTAACATCGCAATTTATTAAATAATATATCCTCCTATCATTATAAAGAATGAAAAGTCACTATCAAATATTATTTATTTACTATATGTTAAAATTTTACTCATATTCTTCGATATTACCATACGTTACCACACGCAGCATTAGCAATTAGAAATTGCAACCCTGCTACATTTTTACAAAGCCGCCAAGTTGACAACATTGTGGCGGCAAAAAAGCAATAATTGTGATTGAATTGTGCTCAGTTGGCGCGGAAAAAACAACAAACAAACATCGTTTTTCAGACTAAAATTCTAGAATATTTTGCTTTTTTTGCTGTCAAATTATGAAAATCCAAGAAATTAAAACGCTTTTTGCCCATATCCATATCAAAGGTTTGAGCATAAATAGAGAAGGTGTCCCATTGCCTATGGCCGCTGGTTTAGTTGGACAAAATGCTGCCCGAGAAGCTGCTGATATAGTTGTGAATTTGACGAGAAACAAGAAAATGCTGGACTTGCCTTACAGCTGGAGTTAATATCCGGTACGGGCAACACTGCAACTGCTCTAGCTATTGCCCAGGAATTGGACAATAAGGTAACATTCTGTCCCGGAGATGTTCAGCAGCAAAATAAGAAAGACCGTGTTTCTCATAGAAAATTTGAGAGGTTTAATTGGTTTTAATGGAATGAGTGAAATTAAGGAAGCCTGAGGGTGAATTTACCGAACTCACAGAAAAAATGGAGGTGGATGACATCTACATTTGGCCAATAGTTGTGCCGTCAAGCGTTAAGGACGCAGTGACACCTTTGCAGCGGAATTTGACTTGGAGACCGAGGCTTGAATGTGTTATACGGTAAAACAAATAATTTAATTTTTCGGGTTTCCTTTGTTAACATTTCTTTTTGTTTGCTTCCAGTGGCACCAAAGACATTGCCTCATCTCATGGCATTCGATTGGAGTTACCTGATCCTTGGCTCTCATACGCACCTTACTATATCATTCCAGTGAAATATGGAACAATTCGTAAAACTGCGTGCCGAAATTGAAAACCCTCAATTGGAACAGTCCGCCTTTATCATTTTATCACATTGACTTCCAGTTGCTCACACCAGCCCATCAAATGGCCAAGGCGAATGGTCGCACACAAATTACATATTGGAACATATTGATGATCCGAGAAGAATACACAATTAATGAAATTAATCTACTTCCAACCGAATGATCTGTAGACATTTCGGTATTTCAGTGTATATAACCTTTTTCTGCATAAAATTTCAAATAAAGGGCTAGAAGAAACATGAAAATTCAAGTGTAATTGACTTCCCAGAACAAACGTTTCGGATCCGATCTGACATAAATTTGGCAATTGTGATTTTCAAAGACTAAACGCTCTAATAAGAATTCTTGCCATGTTTCTCAATCGAAATGACTGAAATATATTTTTAAATCATAATTGTAGAAGAATATTTAGTTCAAGGAACATTACAACAATGGCAGCAATTGTTTTGAAGAATAGTTTTTTAAGGAAAAGTTTTACTACATATTTCTTTTCATTGAGAGACAACTTCTGCAGGTATTTGAATATAAAACTATGTCTATATTCCACTCCTACGCCTATTAAATGGGGTAGCAAAGTAGTCGAATTCAGTACATAGTCTTCTTTTGTTAAAAGATTTTTTCCCGCCTGGAATCCACCAAAGAAGGAGAAAACTATAAAATGGTTAACAAATTTTTAATGCTACTCATGTTTATTTTTGTCGAAATAAATATATTTATTATTTATTTTAGAACAGTGTGGCTTGTTTGTTCGGGATACCGTAGTATTCTGTTGTTGCAAAATGGTCAGGCTTTATCCCTTTATTGTTGTTTTTATAAAACAACGTTTGTTTTTAAAACTGGGTTTTGGTAGCCAAAAAAGACAGTTGACTTTATCGTGCCACCTTGAAAATATGTCTTGCTCGAGCCTTTATTTAGGCATAATAAATTCACTATTAATGGTAGGAAAACCATTGTTTTCTTATTTCTAAAGTAAGGAATGTAGTAAGTATGAAATATAGAAATTATTTCAGTGTGAGTCAATTATCGGACAGATGTTTCGATGAACGTTTTGCACCCAAGAATAGGGCATGTACCATCATTTGGCCATTTGATGGGCTGGTGTGAGCAACTGGAAGTCAATGTGATAAAATGATAAAAGCGGGTTTTCAATTTCGGCACGCAATTTTACGAATTGTTCCATATTTCACTGGAATGATATAGTAAGGTGCGTATGAGAGCCAAGGATCAGGTAACTCCAATCGAATGCCATGAGATGAGGCAATGTCTTTGGTGCCACTGGAAGCAAACAAAAAGAAATGTTAACAAAGGAAACCCGAAAAATTAAATTATTTGTTTTACCGTATAACACATTCAAGCCTCGGTCTCCAAGTCAAATTCCGCTGCAAAGGTGTCACTGCGTCCTTAACGCTTGACGGCACAACTATTGGCCAAATGTAGATGTCATCCACCTCCATTTTTTCTGTGAGTTCGGTAAATTCACCCTCAGGCTTCCTTAATTTCACTCATTCCATTAAAACCAATTAAACCTCTCAAATTTTCTATGAGAAACACGGTCTTTCTTATTTTGCTGCTGAACATCTCCGGGACAGAATGTTACCTTATTGTCCAATTCCTGGGCAATAGCTAGAGCAGTTGCAGTGTTGCCCGTACCGGATATTAACTCCAGCTGTAAGGCAAGTCCAGCATTTTCTTGTTTCTCGTCAAATTCACAACTATATCAGCAGCTTCTCGGGCAGCATTTTGTCCAACTAAACCAGCGGCCATAGGCAATGGGACACCTTCTCTATTTATGCTCAAACCTTTGATATGGATATGGGCAAAAAGCGTTTTAATTTCTTGGATTTTCATAATTTGACAGCAAAAAAAGCAAAATATTCTAGAATTTTAGTCTGAAAAACGATGTTTGTTTGTTGTTTTTTCCGCGCCAACTGAGCACAATTCAATCACAATTATTGCTTTTTTGCCGCCACAATGTTGTCAACTTGGCGGCTTTGTAAAAATGTAGCAGGGTTGCAATTTCTAATTGCTAATGCTGCGTGTGGTAACGTATGGTAATATCGAAGAATATGAGTAAAATTTTAACATATAGTAAATAAATAATATTTGATAGTGACTTTTCATTCTTTATAATGATAGGAGGATATATTATTTAATAAATTGCGATGTTAATTTATTGTTGCAAAAAAAATTATTTTTTATTTGAAAATAATGAATGTACACTACATATGATAATCAAAATTTTTATCTTAAAAATTACGTTATTCACCGCGCAATTTAAACATATGTATTTTTTAAAGCAAAAGTATTTCAACATTGACAATTTACAATTTTCTTTTATGTGTGTTGAAAATGTAAATGAATAATACAATAAATAAACAAATAAATGTTTGTAAAGTGGTTTATTATTGTAAATTTAAACATTCTGAATTTTTTTACAACGTTTTTATATTTTAGATGTACCTGGATAATTAGGATATTACAGACGACAACAAATTTTACCATATTAGGGATGTTGTGTACACCAAGTAGAATTTTAGGTAAAGCTGCTAATTATGAAAATGTAGCAGAAATAGCTTAACCATTACATAATACCTTCGTATTATTCTATTGCAGATTTTTTGTTGAACTTCAATTAAAAAAATTGCAACTGACTTAAAAATATAAGAACAATAAAATGGTGATCAAATTAAAATTAAGTCGACCGTCTGTGAGATTGTCGGATGGGGGTTTTTAGGATTGGTTTTTCAAAATAAGTGGTCAAGAGCATTTTCGATGCTCTTTCCGAAAATGGGCACCATAAGGGTGCATCCCTAACCATTTTCCCACAGTGGGTCCAAACCCATTTCTCCTACAGTGACCATATGAAATATAAATCTGGCCACTGTGGGAATTCCAGATGGGTTTGGATTATGAGAATCATTGGTCTAGGAGCATTTTCGATGCTCTTTCCGAAAATGAACACCATAAAGGCGCATCCCTAACCATTTTCCCACAGTGGGTCCAAACCCATTTCTCCTACAGTGACCATATGATATATAAATCTGGCCACTGTGGGAATTCCAGATGGGTTTGGATTATGAGATTAAGTGGTCTAGCAGCATTTTCGATGCTCTTTCCGAAAATGGACACCAGAAAGGTGCATCCCTAACCATTTTCCCACAGTGGGTCCAAACCCATTTCTCCTACAGTGACCATATGAAATATAAATCTGGCCACTGTGGGAATTCCAGATGGGTTTGATTTATGTGAATCATTGGTCTAGGAGCATTTTCGATGCTCTTTCCGAAAATGAGCACCATAAAGGTGCATCCCTAACCATTTTCCCACAGTGGGTCCAAACCCATTTCTCCTACAGTGACCATATGAAATATAAATCTGGCCACTGTGGGAATTCCAGATGGGTTTGGATTATGAGAATCATTGGTCTAGGAGCATTTTCGATGCTCTTTCCGAAAATGGACACCATAATGGCGCATCCCTAACCATTTTCCAACAGTGGGTCCAAACCCATTTCTCCTACAGTGACCATATGAAATATAAATCTGGCCACTGTGGGAATTCCAGATGGGTTTGGATTATGAGAATCATTGGTCTAGGAGCATTTTCGATACTCTTTCCGAAAATGGACACCATAAAGGCGCATCCCTAACCATTTTCCCACAGTGGGTCCAAACCCATTTCTCCTACAGTGACCATATGAAATATAAATCTGGCCACTGTGGGAATTCCAGATGGGTTTGGATTATGAGAATCATTGGTCTAGGAGCATTTTCGATGCTCTTTCCGAAAATGGACACCATAAAGGCGCATCCCTAACCATTTTCCCACAGTGGGTCCAAACCCATTTCTCCTACAGTGACCATATGAAATATAAATCTGGCCACTGTGGGAATTCCAGATGGGTTTGGATTATGAGAATCATTGGTCTAGGATCATTTTCGATGCTCTTTCCGAAAATGGACACCATAAAGGCGCATCCCTAACCATTTTCCCACAGTGGGTCCAAACCCATTTCTCCTACAGTGACCATATGAAATATAAATCTGGCCACTGTGGGAATTCCAGATGGGTTTGGATTATGATAATCATTGGTCTAGGAGCATTTTCGATGCTCTTTCCGAAAATGGACACCATAAAGGCGCATCCCTAACCATTTTCTCACAGTGGGTCCAAACCCATTTCTCCTACAGTGACCATATGAAATATAAATCTGGCCACTGTGGGAATTCCAGATGGGTTTGGATTATGAGAATCATTGGTCTAGGAGCATTTTCGATGCTCTTTCCGAAAATGGACACCATAAGGGTGCATCCCTAACCATTTTTCCACAGTGGGTCCAAACCAATTTCTCCTACAGTGACCATATGAAATATAAATCTGGCCACAGTGGGAATTCCAGATGGGTTTGGATTATGAGAATCATTGGTCTAGGAGCATTTTCGATGCTCTTTCCGAAAATGGACACCATAAAGGCGCATCCCTAACCATTTTCCCACAGTGGGTCCAAACCCATTTCTCCTACAGTGACCATAGGAAATATAAGTCTGGCCACTTTTCTTGTTCTGGCCAAAGTTCTTATAATTATTAATTTTTAATACAATTCATATAACATTTTATTGTTATATTATTTTCATAATTTTAACTTTTATTTTCTTTCACAACAAGCACTTTTGAGTTAAATTTAAATTTACTCTCACGAAAATGTAGTTAAATTTAAATTTATCTCTGAGAGAAAACCAGTGTTGGTAAGCGAAAAATCAAAGTAGTAGAATTTAAATTTAAATTTATTTTCACGCACATGACCTTCTCGATATAATTTTTTAACCTCCATATAAATATCGGATATGGTGAAAATATGGTCATATTTTGAATTATTTTTTTTTTTTTGAAACATTTTTTTATTTGCTGTTTTTAAAACTTTTTTATTCTAAAATAGTGACAACCATCCTTATCCTTATGATTCCAAAAGATAAATTTTATTTTTAATTAATCTCTGTTTTAAGATTTCACCCCTCTGTGCGTCGTTGGGAGTACTAAATAAGAATCTAATGTGAAATATTACTTGATTTCTTTTGACATTCCAAATTATTAAAAGAATCGTATATCTTATAGCTTTCCGATGTAAGTATTCTGTAAAAACAATTCCTTTTTAATGTCTTATATTTATAGGCTTTTTAAAATCCCCGAAATTCCTTAAGAAAACTTAAATAAATATTACGAAATTAAATTTTGTTTTATTTTCTGAATTTCATTCATATTTTGTTTTTTTCTAAAAACTTCGTTCAACACAAACGAAAAATTATTAATATTTTCATGTTAATCACAAATGAAGCCATTCATTTATCTAAATGACTATTAAATAATTAGCTTCTGTTTCAAGTGTGAAAAGATGAC